TGAAATATGAAGAGGCATGATTTATTGTTACCTCATTATTGTGACTATAATATTATTGGTAATAAAAATGATGCAGGATTATAGTCATGTAACTGATCTTTTGATCATCAGCTCATGAGCGAGATCTGGAGGCTGATATTGAAGATGACACTAGCGGAGAAGTGAGGAATCTTCTGGTTCCTCTCCTACAGGTAAAATATAAAAACACCAATGAGCTTGTGTCTCATAAGTTTGCTTTGGCTATTTTGCACTAATTTATGGAAGCTTGTTTATGTCACAGGTGAACAAAAACAAAAAAGATGAATAAAAAATGAATTCTTTTAGAATCTCACAATTCTAAGGGAAAAAAAGTCAAAATTGTGAGACATTAACTTAGAATTCTGGCTTTTTTCTTGCAATTCCGAGTTTACATCTCATAATTCTTTTTTCTCACAACTTTTTTTTTTCTCATAAATTAGAAATTTCCACCACAGAGTAAACATGTAATTGTGACTTTTTAAAAAAAGTCTGAATTATTCAAGATAAAAAGTCACGATTACCTTATATATAATATAGTGCAGAATTCCTTTTCTTAAAGAGAATATTTTTGTGTTAGCATGCTACAGTATCTGCAGTTATAGCACAAAATTAACCAGGAAAAATGTATCCACTGAAGCTACCAAGGTTATTTGCTATAAAGAACTGACCTTCACCTGCAGGCCAACAGGGATGAGTCTTATGAAGTGGATGAAGCACTGGCAGAACAAGATGCAACATCATTGTTTGAGGTGAGCTTTACTCTGCTGTTACAACTCTGCATATAAGAAGTTTATAACTAGTTATGTTTTGGTATTGGGATGTTTTGGGCTTGTTTTTATTGGTCATTGGTCTGGTTTTGGGATGAATTTGATTGGCTTTTTGACCATCTTTGTCAAACAAACCTGGCAACCCCTGTGTTATGAATGACTAGCCTACTTATTGTTGGTTTTCCACAGGCAGGTGAAGGCCGCTTTGGAACAGACGAGTCCACTTTCACCTACATCCTCACTCACAGGAACTACCTACAGCTTCAGGCCACCTTCAAGATATATGAAACTGTACGGTCAAACACCAGCTATACCCACCGCTGCTTTACATGAGACTTTTCAGCATTCTTTCTGAGTTTCTGGTTTCTCTTTTGTGTTTTTCCATAGCTCTCTGGAACAGATATCCTGGATGCGATAGACAGTGAGGCTACAGGAACATTAAAGGACTGTTACATTACTCTGGGTAAATATAACTATTCAAAAGCCTTTAGGAAATTCGTTCTTTTGAATCAGAGTCATATTGCAGTGACTGTAAGCGCCTAAAAGGATACAGCAGGACTGATATTCGATAGCCACGCAGATCATAAAGTGATTTGTTTTTGTTCGAACAGTGCGATGTGCTAAAAACCCGCAGCTGTATTTCGCCCGTC